CAAAGCAAAAAGATTTGACTGGCTAAATTTATATGAATATAAGGGATGCGGGTTATACGTCTATAACCGCATAAAAAAACGACAAAAATAACCATAAGAAATCTTGAGGACAACATTGCTTATTTGTTCTAAAATTATATTACAGAAGAAGCGTTATATCAAAGACAAGAAATTCATCTTTTCAATGAAATTCCTGACAGATGAGTCCTACCTCAACAACATATCCATACATTTGTGATAAAATTTGAAAGATTTTTTAATCAATTTTTAGGATATTGATAATAAAGTAAATTTAATGGGCGTTAAGGGGACGACCATTTGATATTCTGGGGGAGATCGGTGAAGGAGAATATTTTTTTCTGACGGAACTTTCATGTTCACTTTTTGAGAATCTACATTTTTGGCGCGTTATATTCATTTTCATCTTGTTTTGGGCAAGGCTATTCATTTCAGTTCTTGCCATGCAAGCTGAACATTTATTTCCGAATTGTTCCTGCCCATCCACTCCCCCTTAAAAATTTAATACAAAAACAAATAGCTGTCAAAGATCAGTAGTCGCTCCGTTCTTATGTTATCTGCAGCATACTAGTATGTTTGTTGGAAACCTTTACATTGGAATTTCAGGTCGCCGACGTTTTGTGTTTTTAAAAAGTGTTTTAGCCTTTAAACTTGACAGTCTTGTGGTATTCTTTTCATTGCTATGTCTGTAAAGAAATGGGTATGCAATAAGAGGGTCAAAGGTAGTATTAATTTACTAATTGCTCGAATGACAGTTTAGTTGTCACCACAAATTAACATATTAGATGATAAAACCTAGAATTTCGTATTCCGTAGCACATTTGTCAATGTTTAGACATCTTGCTGGTCTTGATGCTCTCTATTCTTCTTTCATTAGCCTTTTAGCTCAAGTATTGTCGGCCCAGTTGCAGTGCTTCGGTATTATAATGAGGCGAATGACTCATTCGTATTGCATGTTTTTTAGTTTATAAACTATTTTATTGTACCTAAACTAAGTTTATAACGTTAATGATTTTGGTTTTCAGTTAAGGCTCATCTGTTGTTTTAATTCTACTCAATATCTAATGGGTGCTTTTTTGTGTCTGGTGGAGCTAATTAAGGCGTATACTATTGCACTAATACAAAAGGGGGCCTGTGATATAAAAATTTGTTTCACTGCGCCACATATTTGTGTGTTGTTCCAAGTCAGGATATTCGTTTGTCTAATCATTTGTTTTTTATTTTGTTATTTGGAGAATTCGGTGTTGACTCAAGACGAACTAACGCTTTACATATAGAAACCTATTGTTAAAGATTTTGCCCTGCAAACGTTGCTGTCTCATTTCCTGTTTCGTTGATGTCTACACCACATCTCCTACTACACTGTATTTGTAGTCTTTACGAAATGCTAGCATGCGTTTATATTAGATAGCAAAAGAAAGACCCGTTGAGACACATTGCATAACATTACACAAATCATGAAATTGAAATACACAATTATTCTGTATGCATCATAAATACACATGCATTTATCATGATCTTATAGTCGTTTTTTTACCTGGTTTGATCAGTGTAATAATTAACCCTGAACCATTTCTAATTCATTTTTAGAAATCACCTAGCTCAACAATTTTGTCAAAGAGCAAACCAGAATTCTCGAAGGAATAATAAAAAAGGAAAATCAGTTCTACAAACAGATGGAAATAGCACAATGAGTGATACAGTGCCTCAAAATAAAACCAATGCAGTACGTGACAGCAACGCCGATCCATTGGGAACAACGTCATAATATCGTTCACATAGGTGAACTTTACTAGCAGGATATCACAGATGTTCAAACGGAGGAAACGGAAACTTGAACCTTTTTGACCTTTATAATTAGTTAATGGAAACTATTTACTTTACGCACGACATCTGTGATAGTTATGGTAACGTTAAAAGCTTCATTTCGAATTATCCGTCATCTACTGTTGTTTGTCTTTTAGTCTTTTTCCTTTTTTTGCCATGGCGTTTTCAGTTTATTTTCGACTTATCAGTTTGAATGTCCCTTTGGTATCTTTCGCCTCTCTTTTACATTAACGTTATGTAACTTTTTGTACTACTATTTTCCCCATGTTGATTCTTTCAAATATCTTACAGAAAACTATTTACCTCTAGACTAATACCAAGCTTGGTCCTATCCGTCACACCGCTTAATTGTCAGAAAGTGTTTATGCTGCGCCTACGATAGTAAGATATCAAAATGTGGAATGATTGCAAATGAGATTTGTATGAAAACATGACAATAAACTCATCATAGATACTAGGATAACATTTTGTACGCCAGACGCGCGTTTCGTCTACAAAAGTACGAAGATGAAGAGCATTTAGGTCCCAAAATTTGGAAAAGTTTTCAAAATAAAACTAAGGTAAACAAAATACTAAAAATCGCAATGTGATGCATATTATTTATTTCCCAGACAAAGAACACACAAAACTTTAATCTTTATCAAATTACAAATTGACTGTGCGTTGATGAGTAACAAACCTATTACTCAGTCCGTTGGCAGTTTGCAACCATCAAACTAAACTAGTAAATTTAATATGCTAATTTCTTATTTTTTCTCTTGTGTTTAGTGATTAATATTAACGAAAGATTACATATGAACAGCAGTTAATATTCTGTTACTTTCTCTTTATTACGTCGTAAACATTTGTGTCGTTTGTCGTCTGTAGTAATACATTTAACTCGTTGTATAATTCATAAGAGTCAGTAAATCACGCCCCCCCCCCCCCCCCCCCCCACACACACACACACACACAGAGACACAATCATAAAAAAATGGTCACATAATCAAAGTAAAAATAGTTTGCATTTCTTTCATTTCAAAGCTTTCCAAATTTTCAACGAAAATCTTATTAGAACAATAATGGAAATTACTTGTTTAATAAGGAAACTATTTTGCTTAGTACATGCATTTTGTTGTTTAAGGTAAACAGACAAGTACGAGACTACAAGTATCTCTTGAAATTCAAACCTATCTTATCCCTTTTTGTTTTCTCTTGACAAGGGCTTTACAAGTTGTGTTAACCTTTACAGTAAAGCCCTCGTTTATGAAAGAATATGAGTTATCAACATATGCACGAACGTTTTTATAAGTTTTTATAAGTGTTCGTTTCATGTTACATAGATCCAGGTTTACTACTTGTCAATCTGTATATACAATTGTTCTTTACTTGTCATTCTGTATATAAAATTGTTATTACATTTCATTCTGTATATACAATTGTTCATTACTTGTCATTCTGTATAGACAATTGAATATACAATGGTTCATCACTTGTCAATCTGTATATGCAATTGTTCATTACTTGTCATTCTGTATATAGAATTGTTCATTACTTGTCAATCTGTAGTTGCAATTGTTAATTACTTATCAATCTGTATATACTTTATACAATGCTTCATTACTTGTCATTCTGTTTAGAAAATTGTTTTTGTCTAGATAACCGTTCATTATTTTTCATTCTGTATTGATAATTCAATCTGTATAGATACATGTTTACTATTTGTTATCCTGTATAGATAATTGTTAATTATTAATGTCATTCTGTATAGATAGTTGTGCATAAATTGTCATTCTGTATAGACACATGTTCATTGCTTGTCATGTTGTATAGATAATTGTACATGTGCATTACTTGTCATTTTATATAGATAATTGTACATGAACATTACTTGTCATGTTATTATGTAATGATACATGTTCATAAGTTGATACTCCGAAAAGAACAGTTAAGATGAATTGAAACTACAAAGCACCATAATTAATTCATTCACTCTTACATAGATTGCATAACGTAAAATAAGGAGATGTGGTATAATTGCCAATTATACAACTATCCAACAAAGTCCAAGTGAAGAAAATTTAAGCAACTATAATACAACTGATTAATTAAAAGAATATGTCAGATATATGCCAATGATTAATTTTCCCTTAATAAAATAGGAAACTAATAGACATCTACAGGTCTATATAACAGAAACAGTTAAATCTGCCTCATATCTTGACCCACATCTCGAACTTTACAATGAGGATCGGTTTCAAACAAAACTTTGCAACAAAAGAGATGATTTCAGCTTCTCAATTGTGAACTTTCAACTTCTTTTTAGCAACATTCCAGCAGCGCCTGCATACGGAATATATATCTCCCAGTCGATACGATATTCCAGAGCTTGTATTTCCTATCATGACTTCCTTGTTAGAGGGGTGCTGCTTACAAGGATGCTAGTGAACCAAGAGTGTCAAGTGGTGTAGTTGAAACATCCATTCCAAAATTTTACGATCGCCATCACAAGTTGGTTGACCGCTATTGAATATCTGTTTCACAGATGACGTTAGATATATTCCAATTGTCGTACATGTAACCACAATCCCATCCTCTGTTCCTCGAATATGATCTACTGGATTAGATTTATCACTGATTTTGTACTTACATGAGCAACATGCCACATGTGGTGCAGGATCTGCTTACCCTTCCGGTGCAAATGATATCGCCCCCCGTTTTTTTTTTTTTTTTGGGGGGGGGGGGGGGTGGTCAGTCTTTTTTTTTCATTTTGTATTTTCTGTATTTTTGTTTTTCTTCTTTGGCAATGGTATTGTCAGTGTGTTTTTGACTGATGAATTTGAATATCCCTTTGGAATCTTTCGCCTCTCCTTCAAAGATTATCAAATATTTATAAAACACATTTAAACCTAACCAGTTGTTATTGTTGGCATCTGTTTTTGTAGGATCAATGGAAGTAGTTTCTTAATGCTAACGGTATTGAAGACTTGCTCATTTTGATAGGTCACTAATTTCACACGTTAAGATAGTCGGTAAGATAAATTCGTTACATACTTCGCTCTCACCCCATATGGAATTTACTGACCCCATATATACCGTATTAGGTCACTAGCACACTATGTAACTAATAATATCCGCTTTTATCAAGGAAATAACCCATAATTATTTCCTTGACAATTGTAGAAATGTGGCGTTTAGTATTTACAATTATTTCATTTCTAAATACTGATATTGTGAATGCATATTATGTTTTGAATGCAAGTGCGGGTAAGTTTATTTCTTTTAAAAATAGTTGATTGTAAAGATTGATAGACGATTTCTTTCTTACTTGTTTGATGACATGATTGCCGAGAGTTTTTTCTCAAAAAATTCAAGAAACTAATAATTTTATGAAAAAGAACCATTTCAAGTAAAAGATGAATGTTGTACACATTTTAGACTTTTTAAAACGCAACTTCGCAAGTAAGTACTGTATAAAAAAGATTTCAGAGGTAAGCAAGCTAACATTTGATTTTTATTGCGGAAAAACGGAAAAGGGGGGGGGGGGGTTAAAATAAATTGAAAATAAACAGGCTTGATCCTTTTTTTGTTGAAAAAATGCAGGATGTGCCATTCCATCCCCCATTCCCTCTTTAAAAAAATCGTAAAATTCGTACGTTTGCTGCCAAATATATGAATTCAATATATATGAATTCAACTTATATATGAATTCAATAACAGTTTAAATGTATCAAAAGAATGAATTTCCTATTTCATTAGTGAATGAAATTTTATGAAAAAATGGATTTTGTCTTGTTATTAGATATATAAAGGCATATATTTTGAATTAAAAAAATAATCATGCTTAGCTTTTTATATGACTCTGATAGTGTTGATCAGGATTAAACACGTCTTACTACATGATCCAATCACAGCTTACCGTCCAAAATTGATGACATAAGTTAAATGATTTTCTTCAAGATTTGCTGCCTTTTTGAACATGTATTACAAGGACACTTTTTATTTATAGGACCAATCGTGCATTGGCGAGTTGATAGGGATTTTATCTTTTGATAAGATTTGATTATTTTATATATATTTCCTGTCTTTTTTATTGAAATATAAACGTCGGTATCAGCATTTCTTTACTTTCAGCATTGTCCAGTATACTATTCATGTCCATATATTGAAAAAAAAAATACATTTATGGACCGACCATTTAGCTTAAAAGGGGGGTATGTTCTTTTCTGAGTAAGAAAATTATTTAGTTTTTCAACGCTATCACCCAAATATTTTTTCTCGAAATTAGCACTTACATAACCCCCCTTTTGAAGTTAAATGGTCAATCCCTTAGTGTACTGATATGAATAGTAATTTACTGGAATTGTTTGAAAAAATATAGTTATTGATGCTAACGTAAATATTTTAATAAAAAAGACAGGAAATATGTCGGTGAAAGAAAAAGTTCAAATGTAATTGAAATTTAAAGTGCCCAGGAACTCACTGATCATGCACGAGTGGTTCTATTGCATATGATTAGTCTGCCAAATGCTCCATGTAATGTCTATCCAAATTATTGACATCTAATTTATCAGCAAGCGAAACCGGATTTCAGCGATACTGTGGAACTACCTTTTGCTAGGAGCGGTTTGATTCAGATATCGATACTAACAATTCCTTAACATTTTTTACTTACAATGTTAATATAAAAATGAGGAGATGAGGTATGATTGCCAATGAGACAACTATCCACCAAAGTTCAAATAAAGTGGATGTAAGCAATTATAGGCAACCTTACGGCCTTCAACAATGAGGAAAACTCATACCGTATAGTCGGCTATAAAAGGCCCCGACATGAAAAATATGAAACAATTCAATAGAGAAAACTAACGGCTGAATTTATAACAAAACAATTTACGAAAAACAGATATGACAGATATGAACCAACGACAACCACTGAACTACATGCTCCTGACTTGGGACAGGCACATAAAGAATGGGACGGGGTTACACATGTTTGTGAGCGCTCAACACCCCCCCCCCCCCTCTAACCTGGTACAGTTGTGTAACAGCACAACATAAGAACAAAATATAAAAATCAGTTGAAAAAGGCTTAACTCATCAGATCGATACAAGGAAAAGAAACATCAAACATAAACACAGAACGGACGTGGCAGGGTATTTATCCATCCATCATCCCTAACAACAACAAGGACACTAAGTACAGATCTGAGAGTACTCGCAATTACTAAAAGCTAGTTTGAAGCAAATAACAACTAATAAACATCATGTATCTAAGACTAAAATATCAATCAGTACACATAGTACATCGAATGGATTTAGTGTAAGTCTATCTCCTCATGCAACAGTATAAAAACACAAATATCTTGTTTTAAAAAGAAATGATCATATATATAAAAAAGCACTCTGATTCCAACATAAATTCGTCAAAACTGACATCATCAAGATGCTGTTTTTTTGTAATGACAACATATGTGGATAACGTTTTTTTTTAAACAGACTATCGGTATTCCTATGAGAACTAACGTTAACTCTGCTTCTCTTCTGGCCCCTTGTTCCTCTATCTTCATACAGAACCTTATTTAGTTATTGGAGCAGGAATTGCTCACCCTTCCAGATTACTAAGGTTTATCTCCGAATTTTGGATGATTTGGTGTTGATAAATCATTAGTTTTCTGTGTTATGTTTTGTTAAATTGTCGATTCGTTGTTTTTCTCTTTGGTCATATTATTGTCTCTCTATATTGGCTTATTATTTTCAATTGCACCCTTTGTATCTTTGCTCTCCTTTAAGTGACGATTAATTCAATGTTTAAAGTCGTTCAAGGTATAAAAATTTTTTTTTTTTGTTGAGGGCCAGCTTTAACCCGCCTCCGGGTGCGGGATTTTCTCGCTGTGTTGAAGACCCATTAGTGGCCTTAGCCTGTTTTCTGCTCTTTGGTCGGGTTGTTGTCTCTTTGGCACATTCCCCATTTCCATTCTCAATTTTATTCTTCAAAGATACAAGACTTATAATTTGGTATGGCAGACGCGGGTTTCGTCTTTATAGATATTAGACTCTCCAGTGGCGCTCAAATCATTATAGTTGGAAGACCAACATGAATACACAGTGGGAGTGCGTTAAAAACCTTAAAGTGCCAAATACAGCAAAGCAAAATTCTTAAACTCTCATATCCCCTTCGATGTATGTTCTAAATTCATACTTTTTTTTAAATGTATACTTCTTTGCTCTGATGCGTATACCCAACGTATGGTACTATTTACAAATTGGGCATTCTCAAAACGATGATAACAAGTTAAAAGTTTGCTTCTAATTAGCCAAATTGTTAAGGAGGATAACACTTTTTATACACTACATATTTTTTATAGTAAAAAGTGGGTATACAAAACAAAACTTGTATACCGATATAATTGCTCACTTTAATTACAAACCGGAAAAAGTTTAATAACAGAATATTTTTTTCTGAGAACAGACTAAAGTTAAAACCGTCTTATGCAAATGATAAAGTCGAAGTAATTTGCTCAAAATTGTGTCAACTTATCAGTTAAAAAGTATAACAAAACTACCGAACTCCATGTCAAATTAAAAAAAACCCATAAAAACTGACAAAATCAAACGTTGTCAACCAAATGTGGAAAACATCACATATTCATGTCTTGGTACAGGCATTTTCCAAAGAAAATGGTGGGTTAAACCTGGTATTGAATCTAGCTAAACTTCCCACTTGTAACCCAAACAGACATATTAGGTTAATGTGACAATAATTGGGATTACGAAGCCAAAACTGTGAAAACATACATTGCAAACATACATCACTAGCATACAACACGGCTGACTAAAAAAAACAAACAAATATACAAATAAATTTAACAAAGGCGCGTACGCCAACAAAAAAGTTGTGGTTGATAGTAAATTTGACAATGACGTCAACAAAAACAGTTTATTAGATAAAATAATATACGATCTATTACACATTGTTTTTCGTATTAAATAATCTTTAACAGAATAACTAAAAAAATGTACTAGAATAGCCACGAAGATGACCATCTGCAGTGGCATACGTGGTCATTAACCATACTTCTTAAAGAGGATCACAAATATATGTCGTAATCAAAGTTTAATATCAATTTTCCTCTGAGAGGTTTAGTTATTTTTTGCATTGAGATTCAGGCTTATTTTTCTTTCTTCGCATTTGTAACTTTGTGTCAGCAAAAAATACGTTATACATCATTTGTAAAATGTTCTTTTGTACAGTAACATGGAGGGATGCACAAAATATCTGCAACGTTCCATCTGTAAATGATATCAAGCACACGGAGATAGCTTATACTGAACTACCCACAACGTTCACTGCATGGACGTCTTCATTCAGTCGAACATCTGATTGGGCATATTTCTATGGTAATTTGACATTTAAGTTATAAATAGCTATAAATGTACTGTCAAAATCTAACAGAATTATGTTACAGTTCTCTTATTGTAAATTAAGAATTCATTACGAATTATATTCGACGGACATAAATTCAAGATTAATATTTTTTCGATATCAGGAAATGAAACATTTAAATAATGCCATCATGTTGAAATTCAGTGGTATAAGTAACAGGATAGTAGTGCTGTCGTCGTTTTTCGTATTACGTGTGTTTAGAGTCATATCAAATCTTGAAAATATCTAGATTTTTATGCAAATCATATGCGTGTGTGCACGAAAGGTATTAGGCCAATGTTTCAATGTCGAAGAAACGAACATTTTCATTTTTGATATGATTTACTTAAATCCATGTAAAACGCCGTCATAACAAATACCTTGTCAGTTTGTGGGACAGCCGAGTAAATGTTTCATACCGTTCCGTCAGGAGTGCACATAGTGATGGATTGATTTTTTCTTAAATAACATCCATAATTATTGTCATTTGTTTAGTATATATGCCGAACAAGAACACATTAACAGTAAATACCATAGGTAGATAATACAAGGTGGGAAGACCAGGATGATGAATGGAAAATTTAAACTTCCAGTGAAAAATTGAAATATGTTACATAGGGGCAGAAAGTATGCCTTGAAACAGACCACTAATCAACCACTTCAACAGTTGTTGCAAGGAGTGTGGCACCCGCCCTACACAAGGAGTCCTCGCATAGCCAAACGGACAACACACTTTAGCAAGGATTTTACTGCCGGAACGAAAGAAGTCATCAAAGGATTACTATATTTCTATGTCTATACCCCAGTAAACCCTTAAGTGTGGTGCAGGAAGACAATATAGCCACACTGACTATCTATATGCTATTTGATACAGCAACTCAGAAACGCCAAACTTTAAAAGACATCTAGAGCTTTATCTATTTACGACTGATGTCTTAACAATAGTTCAAGCTCTGATATCGCCCCCTGTGTATAGTTATTTGTATAAATATTTTTATCATGCCGATTTACACTCTTATTTCAGCTAAACATTTAGTAATGACAATGTGACTATATATCCACCAAAGACTAACTGACTATAGCTAGGATATAAAAAAATTGAGGGCTAGGGTTAGGGTTAGGGTAGGGCACTATACGGTTTTCAACTGCGAATTAACCCTTAACCTAGATGCATTGTAATCTATAAATGGCCCCGACATGAAAAATGTAAAACAATTTGAAACAAACATTTCTAAATCAAGGTCTAAAATCGGGACAATGATCACATTTAATTGGAAAACAGAATATTCTGAATTTAAAGTGTGTGAGTCTAAACTATTTTTGTGAATTTGTTTGTAGTTTTCGAAATCGGTTCAAAGTAATTGGGATATTGAGTCTTAAATTGACCAAATATTTTCCATCGGGCAACGTTGACCATAATTGAATTTGGCTATTCTTTGTACGTTCCTTTATTGGTCATTGAGCTCTTTACGCAATCAAGTACTTTTATATTCTTAGCTTTTCATTGTTGGGGTTTGAGCATTCTTGATGTAGTAAATCCAGATAATCAATTTCGACGCTTTTTTAAGTTTATAAATTGTTACTTTCATTTTCTATCACATTGTCGATATCGCTCTACTAATAGACCGTTAGTCCCCGAGGGAATCATCAGCTCAGTAGTCAAGTTTTATTTTCATTTTCTAATTAAAATAGAAATCTGTCATCTTGAATTCTGCCCTTTTGAATCAAATGCAAACATCAAAAGTAACCAATGTCTTTTCTTAGACATTTATATTAAAACCTCATATGATATTATGCATATCAACATTATTATAAACGTAACGGCTTATCAATTCTTATTGTTATTTTCCTTTCCTTGGTGGTTATGTCCCTTTGGTTCATTCTTATGGAGTGTAAAATGAAATATATCATATACTTTTGCATAGGAAAAATCAGAATTGTTTCCTTGCATTTCATTTATATTGGAAGGGAACTGTCCCTTTGGATTATTTGGGGTTGTGAAGTTTTTTTATTCTATTTTGCTTTCTTTTTTTTTTTTTTTTTTTTTTCTTGCATATTTTTGTTTTCTTGCATATTTTTTTTTATCACAGCGGCTTTAATCGTGGTGCATCATCACTGGTATCAATTATAAGTATTTTTTTTAATAGCTGCATTGATTCCTTTTTTTTTAGGTAAAAGTAAGACAAAAACAATTATTTAAAAAAAGAAAGTATTATTATAACTAACACTTGAATGGTAAACGTTCATTTAATATTTTAGGATTCAAAAATGTTTACTTTTATCACGCCCCTTTCCCTTGATTATGATATCTTCGAAATTTTAATATGTCATGAGAAAAAAGAACTGCAGTAGAGGAAAAGGATCTGCCTCTCCAGATACTTGCAATCAAACCCGGTTTCTGATGGGGTTCATGTTGGTCATTCTTTATTTTTCTTCGTGTTTTGTAGACTTGTCTGTTTTACGCCGTCTTTTAAGGCAATGTTTTTGTTTATTTTTCATCGAATTATGTTAGCTACTGTCCGTTTGATATCTTTCGTGATATTTTAAGGAGATGTGGAATGATTGGCAATGAGACAAATATCGATCAAAGTCCAAAAAAAGAATTAAACAACTTCATGCGTTAAACAACTTGCCATATAATAAACTATAGAAGGCCCCAGAATAACAAAATTGCTCGATACATAATAAAAATGAAGCTCCATAGTTTACTCTTTGTCAATCACGCAAAACACAAAAAGTATAAGTAAGACGCAAATGACACTTTGTTGTTATACATTATGATATATGACGATTTAGTTTTGTATGTTTGAAATTTAGCTCGATAATACTTAAGAAAACTGGAGTGGAGACTGTGAATATCAACTGTGTTTTTAATATTAGGATTGCTATGATCTTATAATTTATATTATACTAGAAGATGCCCGAGAAATCGCGGTACAATTGGGCAAGTGTTGAAACAAAGAGTGTTAAGGGTGCCTGTGTTTACACATAAAAAGGGGGAGGGATCCGGACGTCGGGTGCCTGTGTTTTCACATAAAAAGGGGGAGGATCACTTCGACACGTTCAACGGCCATTTCATTTTTGGACAGTTCTGCACCCGAGTAAAAAAGGTGGATGTCGTTTAATTTAGCAAAATGATGCACTTACAATACAATACAGGATCCTTATCATGCTTATAGGCCGAACTGTCTAAATTTCTATCCTTTCTTCTTACTTTCAATTGGATTTCGCGGGCAGTACGTCGACTGAGCATACACGAAAGCGTATAAGACACGGATCGATAACGGTCTCCGAATTTGGATATTTTCTAAAAAATTGGCGTTTTCTGAGGAAAAAACATTGTTTCAAAGACAAATTTAGGAAGTACAAAACATTACATTTATACGTCATATCACAAATATTTCCGACTTTGTATGGTTTCAGTGGAGTTGCGGCTCAATCAAATCGGTCTCGTCCTTTAGTAGTATAGATTTCATTGTTACTATAATTATTATTATAACTATATACTTATTATTATCATGACCATTATTATTTTCATTATTATGATTTTGATTATGATTATTATTAGCATTATTTTTATTAGTAGTATTACAAAACAAAAATAATATTGCCGATAATGCTTTTTTCTTTACGTCATGTTTTATTTGTTAACATAAGAAATAATTAAAATACTTATAAATTTTGCTTAAAAATAATCCTTTCTTACACCACTTCTTTGTTATTAAAGGTGGTCAACAGCAACATGAAAATAACCTTTATCTGCTTTTTATTTTTGTACCTAATACTTGTTTATTTAACCTATTTCTCAGGTTGCTTGGATGTATCAGTTGATATGGTTAGAAATGATATAAAAAGAAAGTTGAACAAATATTTTCCAAACAGTACAAACGCCACTGAATCCGAAAGCGTATTCAAATGTGCATATTTGTGTACAAGAAATGGCGATTTTTTTACATTCTTTGTACGTATACCAATTAGATACACACTATACTTGACCTAATCATACATTACATGCAACGTTTTTCCACAACGTTTTATGACTGAGTCAAAGTATACGTACGCATAATAGGGCGTTATTTCGGAAATTGATAACAATGTTTGAGTATGTAGAACTCATTGAACTGCATCTTAATATCCATAAAATGATAAATATAAAATTTATACATTACATATAAGAGGTAAAATCAATTATGAAATACATCTGTACAAGCGTAGAATGTACGAAACAAGTGTCAAAAAAGAGGATTGCTTAAACTTTTCATCAATTTTATATTTCTTGATATTCCTTCCTTTATTAATGTCATCTTATTGGTTTGATCATTTTCGTTAAGTGATCCAAATACAACGGGTCACCGGCTATCAGTGGTCGTTCTAAATACTTTAAGTTTAAAAAGAGACCAAATATACTAACAAAAAGACATAAGACACCATAAAGATGATTTCCGTCAAATTTGTTCATGAAGAGCATACCATTTCCCACAAATAACAAATACAGATACCATGCTTTAAGTTTGTACGACGGACGCGCGGGTTTCGTCTATAAAAGACTCATCCATGACGCTCGAATCAAAAAGGTTTAAAGGCCAATTAGAGTACTGAGTTGAAGAGCATTGAGGACCAAGAATTGCGCTAGGCTTTTTCTAAATACAGGTAAGGGTATTCCTTGGCTAGAACATTCTTAGTATTTCGAACAATGCAAAATTTTGTAAATAGTCAATAACAATTTCCTGAAAACTGGTATATCCCCAAAGTATGATGATAAAAGTAAAACAAACATGCAAAATCCACTTGTTAAAAATAATAACCTTCGGAAGCTCACATGGTTTCGTATGCCTCATATTACTGTTCGTTATAAAAAAGAGACAAACGATACCAAGTGGACTTATAGGATAACAAGAACTTCCTAAATTTTGGACAGTATTATCGACCCTATCAACCAACAACACCTGACTATTCCGAAAAAAATACAAATAAGCAATAACAAACAATACTTTGTCCAGTAATCTTCATGTTTCCAGTAATACTGATACACTATAACATTAACCTGAGTACAAAGTGATGCACAGTCTACTCTTTCTATCTATTGATATGTTAGGCCTGAATATGCGGCATCCTTATTTATCTAATGAAAGACTGTTTACTTCATTAAAAAAAAATTAGAGAAAGACTGACTTTTTTGTCCATGTTTTAATAAATATAACTATTCTGCTTATTTTTTCCTTAGAGACGATTTTGTAAGTGTATTCATCAGAACGATATAAAATCAGGTATAGTGCAGCGTCCAGTGTGTATGTCCACAGATTTACAGATCGCGCATAATATTGATGCAGTGTATTCGATATCGCATTCTTCACTTTCAATCTTCAAATTTGAAACAGGTATGCCCCTATCTGCAGAAACTGTTCGCTTAAAAATTGAGTTGACTCCATCTTGGATAATCCTCAACGAAATATAATAAGTTTACTTGAACCGCCATTTTTTCAGAGTGTGACATGTCATGAGCAATACAGAACTCATCAGAGATAACAGTCGTTTAATTTCGTATGCCAGACGCGGGTTTCGTCTGTATGAGACTCATCAGCGACGCTCAATTCATGACATGTTGAAAGGCCAAATCATTATAGAACATAGAACATATTAAAAACCGAAATTCCGAAAAGTTGTGCCAAATACATCTACGGTATACTTTGCGTCTTGGTAGAAAAATCTTAACGTTTTGAACAATTCAGCGTTTTATAATAGTTAATTTACAGAAAATGAACATGTCAATGATATTTCATGTCAACACAAAATTGACGGTTACTGGGCTGTTGATACCCTCGGATAGGCAACGTCCAGCAGCAGTGACAGTGGTTGTAAAACTTATAAAAATACTAGGAGTATAACTTGGTGCTTCATTAACAGGGCTGTGCTCCTAAAATAAAGAAAGCTACAGAGTTATGACGAAGAACGACTATCATCGACACTACATAAATTCTACGGTCACCATCACGAATTGGCTGACCGATACGTCTCTAAACTTAATAGCGACATGTTTTTGCGATTTTAGATCTTTAAATATCAGCATAGGTGTCTGGTCGGTCATTTTGTCGATTGTGTCCTATTCCCAATTGTGGCATTTTGACTGATTGTGATTTCGCTTGATGGGTGATGAATGCAGAGCAGGATACACTTACCCTGTCGACGCACGAGGTCTTTCTCCATTTTGCGTTTATGCACATCCATCTTTTGTTTGTTATATAGATTTGTCTCTTCTTAATGGTTTAACGGGCTTTGGACATCGGTAAACTACTGCGACTTTAACACCACAAGAAATAAAATTACAAAAAGAAGCATTTAGTTCCCTAAATATACTCTACTGTATTTCAACTTTAGAGAAAGGCAGTATAAAAATGGGTTTGTATCAATGAAATGTTCATGTTATTTGTTTAAAGTTTGGAGACTGCTGTTTGTCTTGTCGAAGTTTTTTTTTTGTCAGGATATTGTCTTTTTGTCTTTGAATTATTATAATTAATTGTTCTTAGTAGTGTCTGTCTCAGACTACTTACATTTTATTCCTAACATTTTTTTCTAACCTTAACATCAGTTAAAATTGAAGAAATCTGAAATCAATAGCATGTAAATTGGTTTTACTTTCTGATTGTGGTAAAAACAAATCTTGTACTATAGTTAATGGAACAATACAAACACAATATTTTATTGACTATCGTACAAATAATCCAATTCTGAGTTAAAAATAGAATAATGACATACATGTAATGCTATAATATCTTTCATTTACCTTAAAATTTTGGACTAAAGGTATTCAAAAGAATGGAACAGAAGGCATTAAGTATAATTGCCTGACAAAAAGACAAGATGGTACTTTCATAAGCAATAACTGCACCTCTAACAACATGATTCATTGTGCAGATGGCAAGTATTTAAAACGAGATTAAGTTGATCCTTTACGACACAATGGTTTTAAAACAATTAATATAGGTAAAGTAAAATTAATATGCATTTACTTTCTCGACAAACAAACTAGTACTAGAGCGGTGAACGTGTGTCTATTTGTAAATATCCTCAGCTATCTACATGCGTTTAGGTGAGTTGCAAATATACATTTTTGATAAACAGTTCAACGAACTTATGTAGTACCTAATACCCTTCTTTCACAATACTTGGGAATAACACCTGAAACCATTAAAATTGTCCCTTCCTAGAATTGTATGTGCTTCTGATTCAAATTGATTAAAGACATATGAAACGAGCTTCTTAAAATTTTACTGTTAATAAAATTATTGAACCAATGCATGCATATATCCTAACCCCATAACGTATAATTGACAAAACATATTTCATTCAGTGATTGTTGATCGCAAATTAATTAATTTTCGATTTTGTTGCCGAAGTTTACCAAACTGTGACATTGATTCAAAATCAACACAGAATCAAGTAGCACGTGAAAAATAAGCGATTGTATTTTTCATATTTTCCATGCGTTTCCAATTATTAATTCAACTTTGCAATAACAGTTGTTTGATGATTTGGTGTATTAAATTGCTCTTTTAGAATCAATTAACACAATAAACATACAGTCCACGTTTGTTTTCATTCTTTAATTAACGGGTTTTCACTCGCACTTGCACTGTGCGGTTGCCGAGGTTCTAACGAGAGGTCTCGTGGTTAAGGACACTGCATACGGAAAATCTATCGGCGATTTAGATTACGGGAAGACAATATTTCAAAAGAAGTACATTTATCAAGATTTTGATAACTAAACTAAAGATAACGGATTTTCTTCTACAAGAAAGTCATCCCGCACTTGTTTTAGGGTAAAATTTAACCTTTAAAGTGTATAAAACATACTAAATTTTCTTTTTGTAAATTCGACGTTTCATATGACTTAAATATTAACTAAGTATTTCCATAAAATGATAAACGTAATTGTTTAATTCACTATATTAGAGGGAAATACATTATTACTCCTACATCATTAAAATTGTAGGTCATAGGGCATACGGAACATGGAGTTATGCTATTAACTTATGTTTACTCAGGAATGAATCACTTTTAAAAGAGCGGAATAACAGTTCGGACTACTGGTTAGGATATTTCATGTATGAAGAAGGTAGGATAATACATACTACCAATTCAGTAAACAAATTAAACTATGGAGATGTTGTAAGATTGAGCCAATGAGACAGCTTACAAATACAGACCAAAGGACGATAATGTTTAGAACATATACCACAACACGGCATTCAACAATCAGCATGAACATACCTCAAAAATAGATGTAAAAGGCCCCGGTATGACAAAATTAAGGAACAATTCAAAAAGTCAGTTCTACGTGCACACCAACAACTTCAGTCTACCATTGAAGGTAGGTAATGATCATTACATAACTTACCGGTAACACAATCAACACTGCAGTGGGTGGAATGCAATACCCCTATACCATTCAAATTACGAGCACGTGCCATCAAAGATAACATTGGGAGAAATTTTTTTTAATTTGATTTCTTTCAAATACGTATTTCAGATTTTCTTTAGCTATAGCGGTTTTAAATATTAGATAATAGACAAAACTGACATATTACACCATGTGTTCTATTTTTAGCCATGTCAGCCATGTTGGTTGGCAGGCTGGATCATTGGACTCATTTTTGAAACTAGTAGATACCCTAATGATGATTGTGGCCACGATTGGTTCTAATTGGCTCCGTAGTTTCAGAGGAGAAAATTATTGTAAAAGTTAACGGACGACAACGACAGACAACGGACGCAAAGTGATGAGAAAATATGGAACGCCACAGCTGTCTTATGTGGAACTCTGATATTACGTTATGTTGCTTTATTATTACTTGATGATAGTTTGTCTTTACATAATATGGTTTTGACATTACGTAATGATGTTTTGATATAACTCAATATGGAATAGTCATTACTTAATGATATTCCGATATTATATGATATGGTTTCGTATTGACCTGATATAGTTTTGTCATAACTTAATATGGTTCTGTCAATACTCGATGTGGTTTCACCATTATTTGATGTGGTTATGTCATTAGGCAATGTGGTTTTAACATTACTTGATGTGTATGTGACATAACGTAATGTAGTTGTTTCATTACATGATGTGGTTTTGTTATTTCGTAATAATGATTTGTCAATTCTTGATATGGCTTTAACATTACGTAATGATGTTTCAAAATTTGACGATTTTACACTAAATAATGTGTTGGTTTCAGTATTTGATGTGGTCATGTCATTCTTTGGTGTGGTTATCCCATTACTACTACGAGGTAAAACCACGTGACCATTTTGGAAAAAAATATGTTCTATTTTTAGACCGATTTCCATATGTCGTTTGTGTAATGCGCTTTGGATGAGTACCGCTATTCATTAAGTTAAAGTTCAAATTAAAGTTCAAGTTGTTGTTCATAGTTATTTGGTATGAAAAAGGGGAACGACAGACAAAATTAAGAAAAAAAGTACTAAAACATTTACAGTAATTCGGACATAAGGGGGATATCCCAAAACCACTTGCCGGTTTTTCCTTAGTTCTCAATTGGAAGCAGTATTATAATAAATTCGTAAATGATTCCAAGGAACACTGCTTTATCTTGGTCCTGAAGAATAACTCCTATACAAGTTTTATAACAGTTCATGGAGGTTTACAAATTTATTATGTCAAAATAGTTTAATTCGGTAATATTCAATGCCAAAAAAAAAACCTTACATAGAAATAAAAAAAAATGTGGTATGATTGCCAATGAGACAACTCTCAACCACATACCAAATGACGTAGAAGTTAATATATATGTGTGACTGTATGGTCTTTAAGAATGAGCAAAATTCATACCACATAGTAAGTTTAAAAAGGTCTCGAAATGAAAAATATAAAAACAGTTCAAACTAGAAACCTAACAACCTAAATGATGAGGCTAAGCAACAAAGCATCAATTCTATAAAATAAGAATTCTACAGGTTTTTTTTAGCGTGTATGTTCATTTGAACATATGAATATTAAACTTTTTTTTATTAATTGCAGTTTCTGATATACCACGCACTAATTGAAAAAAAAACTTTTTGAAATATCTGTTTCACAGGTGACGACGAATAGGTTCCAGTTGTCGTAACCACAATCCCGTCATCTTTTCCTCGAATGTAAACTACCAAAAAAAAACAAATCAATGAGTTTGTACTTTCACGAATAAAACGACGGGTGCCACAAGTTAAGCAGAATCCGCTTACCCTTCCAAAGCACCCGAGATCACGCTGATGGATTTATGTTACCCAGTCATACTGATCTATTTAGTTGAGCCAATCAAAACTGTCTTTACATTTTCTTCTTATGCTGTGCTATGATACAATAGGTTAGGATAGGGATTAGCGCTAACATACATGTTAAACTCCGCCTCGTGCACTTTCTTTAAATGCCTGCCCCAAGTCAGGAACCTGTAGTTCAATGGTTGTCGTTGTTTCATGTGTGTCATATTTGTTTTTATACGCCTGTCAAAATTTTGATTGGACGTATTATGGTATACAAATATCGTCTGTCCGTCTGTCCGTCTGTCTGTCCGGCGTAAACATGTCGCACCGTAACTTGAGAACGACTTATCCAAATTTCATGAAACTTAAGATAGTTGTTTCTAATGATGGTCAAACGATCTGTATACTTTTTGGTGAAAATAAGATTAAAACTTTTTGAGTTATGGGATTTAGTAACTAAAACAGGTGTGTGTAATTTTTCCCCATGTCGCGCGGTATCACAAAAACAATTTATGATTATTGCTTGAAACTTTACACACTTCTTAGTTATATTAATCTTAAGATCTGTATACTTTTTGGTGATGATTCAAAATTTTATTTTTGAGTTATTGAGTATTTTGTAAAAAAAAGGGGGAGGGGTTTTTCACATGTCGCGCCGTATCTCAAAAACGATTTATGATTATTGCTTAAAATTTTATACACTTCTTAGTTATAATAATCTAAAGATCTGTATAGTTTTTGGTTTTGATTCAAAATTTTATTTTAGAGATATTGATTTTTTGTTTTTTTTCAAAAGGGGGGTTTTCACATGTCGCGCCGTATCTCAAAAACGATTTATGATTATTGCTTAACATTTTACACACTTCTTAGTTATATTATTCTTAAGATCTGTATACTTTTTGGTTTTGATTCAAAATTTTATTTTATAGATATTGAGTTTTTTAAAAAAAAAAAGGGGGGGGTCTTCGCATGTCGCGCCGTATGTCAGAAACTATTTATGATTATTTCATAAAAATTCACACACAGGCCGACGGGCGTATCATGCGCTCATGGGGAAGCTGTTTATTGTTTAGCTATAAACTAGACCATTAGTTTTCTCGTTTGAATTGTTTCACATTTTCACGTGGTGGTCTTTTGTAGCCGACCATACGGTGTGTTAAAGGATGTACGGTTGCCTATGATTGCTTGCATCCACTGCATTTAAACTATGGTGGATAATTTTCTCATTGGCAATCACACCACATCTAACTTTATTTCAATTTCTATGTTGTGTTTTGTATGCTGTAAAATTGTTTATCTTTTGTACGCATACCTACCCCTGAATCCTCTTTTCGGAAGCTCGAGCAAAAGCCCTTGATCAACGATAAAAAAAATAGAACTCATATCAGAAAACTCAAATTTCAACTCTTAATCTTAATCTAAATGAGACTCAAATAAGGTGTTTACCTCGAACTCTACGCCAAAAGGTGAGTCAAATTTAAAGTTGAAGTCCAATTGTAATTCGGAACTCTATCTTTAAATGTGACTCAAACTCGAAGTTCAACTCGAAATTTGGTATGTGGTTGAGAGTTGTCTCATTGGCAATCATACCACATTTCTTTATTTCTATATAAGGTTTTTTTTAATGCATTTAATATTACCGAATTAAACTGTTTTGACATGATAAATTTGTAAACCTCCATGAATTGTTATAAAACTTGTATAGGAGTTATTCTTCAAGATCAAGATAAAAGCATCTATAGAAAAACATGTTTTCCTCCGTTAAGTGTACCGGTTAATGTACAGGCAGTAAACATTTAATTTACGTTTTACACTGACAGCAGAATTATCCGGCGAGACACAAGGTTAATAAGAATCTTTAATTTATTTATTAATTTACAGCTTCCATTTGAGAACTAAGGAAAAAACGGCAGGACCAAATGGTTTGGGATATGTCCGAATTACTTTTAATTTTTTAGTACTTTTTTTCTTATTTTTGTCTGTCGTTCCTTTTTTTCATACCAAATAACTCTGAACAACAACTTGAACTTTAATTTGAACTTTAACTTAATGGATAGCGGTACTCATCCAAAGCGCATTACACAAACGACATATGAAATCGGTCTAAAAATAGAACATATTTTTTCCAAAATGGTCACGTGGTTTTACCTCGTAGTAGTAATGGGATAACCACATCAAAAAATGACATGATCACATCAAATACTGAAACAAACACATCATGTAGTGTAAAATCGTCAAATTTTGAAACATCATTACGTTATGTTAAAGCCATATAAAGAATTGGCAAATCATCATTACGAAATAACAAAACCACATCATGTAATGAAACAACTACATTACGTAGTCACATACACATCAAGTAATGTTAAAACCATATTGCCTAATGACATAACCACATTAAATAATGGTGAAACCACTTTGAGTAATGACAAAACCATATTAAGTAATGACAAAACTATTCAAGTCAATACGAAACCATATCATGTAATATCGGAATATCATTAAGTAATGACTTTTCCATATTGAGTTATATCAAAACATCATTACCTAATGTCAAAATCATATTATGTAAAGACAAACTATCATCAAGTAATAACAGAACAACATAACGTTATATCAGAGTTCCACATAAGACAGCCTTGGCGTTCCATAAGAAAAACTTGGTTGAACCTTTGGGTCAGATTAGCTAAATAAAAAGCGTGTTTGTCAAACTAGTTTCAGCTTTTAATTACTAGTACCAAATCGCTATGTCATTGTGTACAAGACATTTTGAGTAACAATATTTCAAAATATTAATGAATAGACCAGGAGGTTATTATGACAGTTGATTTAGGAATTGTGTTATTTGAGGAATTTGTATGTCTTATAGATTTCCGAGTTGAAGCGACCAGATAACAAGGATTCCAAGGTATGAACGTCCCACATATCAAAATGTAAAATAATATAATGAGAAAACCAACAGCCTGAATTATGTACAAAACAACAAACGAAAACCAAATTGAATTGGCTTCTGAATTGGGATGAATGCACAGAAATGTTTGATTCTTAAATATTTGAACATCCAAAACTAACTACAAACGTAGAAGAGCCACGTTGTAAAAAGTGTACTTTTGGCTTTCAAACTATTTTCATCTGACCGTCACTTGTTTAGTTTTGTGTGGACGAGACGCACGTCTGGCGTATTGGATTTTAAACCTGGTGCCTTTTGTTAGCTATTATTCGTGTGTTTCTTTGTCCTATATGTTCTCCCATTTATTTGTATTGTAATCCTGTCATGTAATGTTGTCATTTTAATGTTATATTTAACATTGCCATAAAAGCGGGAGGTTTGGCATGCCACAAAACCAGGTTCAACCCACCATTTTTTTCTTAAAATGTCCTGTACCAAGTCAGGAAAATGGCCATTGTTATATTATAGTTCGTTTCTGTGTGTGTTACATTTTTGTTGTGTTTTTGTTGTGTCGTTGTTCTCCTCTTATATTTGAAGAGTTTCCCTCAGTTTTAGTTTGTAACCCGGATTTGTTTTTATCTCTATCGATTTATGAGTTTCGAACAGAGGTATACTACTGTTGCTTTTATATATATTCCAAGTTGAAAGAACTAATCTCTTAATTTAACAACTTTGAATAAGTTTGAAGTTTTCCTTAAATGTAAAACATTATGGCTTATGGCAGATATTCAAAGAATTTGCACAATAACTGTATAGTTTCACTTGGTTAAAAGTCCAAATTCTGACTTGATGTATCTGCGTATTCGGCGCATGTTCTTAACAACGACCTCTTAATTCAAGTATTAGTGTCCTCTTAGAGAGATCAGGGTAGCCATATTTCTACACCTAAGCACACATCAGTTTATTTATGCATTAAAGCAAACAGTGAAAGTCTTGACGGTACCGAACTTTGTTTTAAACAAGAACGTTTTTAATGTACACACTTCGAGTTCTTATCTCAAAATATTGTTTATAATTGATTTTAGTTTTCTTTACAATGTAGGTTTTATAAGCACGCCAATATCAATAAATAGTGATAATCAAATTCCTGCAAACTCAACAGAATCAGCGTTCGATGTATCATTTAAGCCTACTTCTACACAGATAGCTGATGTACAGAGATCTGGTGTAAAGAACAATACATTTGGTATGAAATGCAATACTTGAAACACCAATAAGTCGAAACATATCTCCCTTTACAACTTTGACAAGAAGAATGATAGCGAAGAAACACGCTATATATTGGTTTGACCATAGCCTGACTGTATACAAATACACAAAAAAATTGTAAGCTGTTTCCATTTTCTATAAAAAAAAAAATTTATTAAAGGCTAGACGACTACGGTTCGTTCAGTCCATGTATAATACAATGGTACGGTAAAATGTCTGGAAATTCATATATGGTGAAAGAATGTGCCAGAATGAACAAACCTCACGAATACTATGTAGAAAATATGAGTTTTTGTGCTGATTGTACAGATTGCCAAAGTTCTTTGCAATTTACATATGATTACCAGCCGAGTGTTTTCCCCCAGCAAATATGCAGTAATCTTTTCGAAAATAAAATCATGTCTAAAAATATAGACCTGAAAATATTAAACCTTTTAAAAATTAATTATACGGCTTGCAAGTTATTATAATTACTATATATATATATCATTTCTAGTTGTAGGAGAAGTAGTCATTGTGAATGTTGTTCTCTTCGGACTGTGTATTCTCGTTGTCATTATGATAATCCTAAGGTAATAAGTATTTTGGACTTGAATATTAGTAAAATAGATGTTCTTTTTTTTTAAGCAAAAACATGTAATTTCTAAAACACATTTAAATTATGATATTTATGTTAATAAATGTGACTACAAACATATCAATTTGGAGAGATTATAACATTCTGTCACATTAATATGTTTCAAAGAGAAATTCAGATTGACACTGTTGACTTACATATATACTTTTCAATGAAATAAAATGTAAGTAATGAAGTTTTTTGATAAATAAAAAGGAAATGCCCATAACCTTTTTTTTGCACAATATTGTGAAAAAAACGTTACCTAAAAGTAACATTATGCATTTTATTATAACTTCCTTCACCAAAGACCCGCATAGGTGACACCGATAAAGCCAAATCGAGAACCCCAAAACGTGCCAATATATATATACATGTATATAGTTGTCAAGATCCAATGATTTAATATCTAACAGTTCAAGGTATAATACCACCATTGTTTTCCCCATATTAGTCTTTGTTAAATTTGCACTTTTCAAAACATTGTGCAGAATTTATCTTTGTTTCACATAAAGAAATACTTGGCATGAGTAAAGTTTTATCTTGTCCAGTACTACAGACAAAATTTCACATAACATTTCATTGCATATAAGATAATAACCATGACTGGAAGTCATCCTTTTTTTCCTGTGTACAAGCTTCAGTAACCATGTAACCTCAATATTTTAAAGAAACACTAAATAAAAAAAATTATGATTTGAGACACCCAAGATGTATGTGTATGACTTAGAAATTTTTTACTGCAATGAAATGTAGGATTGATTACCTACAAAAGAGGGACGAAAGATACCAGAGGGACAGTCAAACTCATAGATCGAAAACAAACTGACAACGCCATGGTCAAAAATAAAAAGACAAACAGACGAATAATAGTACAGATGACACAACATAGAAAACTAAAGACTAAGCAACACGAACCCCACCAAAAACTGGGGGTGATCTCAGGTGCTCCGGAAGGGTAAGCAGATCCTGCTCCACATGTGGCACCCGTCGTGTTGCTTATGTTATTACAAATCCGGTAAATAGTCTAATTAGGTAAGGGTATTGCAGTTACGACATAAGGAACATATCCGATATCATTTGTGAAATGGTTATTCCATAACGGTCAACCAACTCGTGATGGCGTCCGTAAAATTTACGAAGGGATGATTTCAACTTCACCATTTGGAACTCTTGGCTTAATAGCTTCCTTGTGAGCAGCAATCCTCTATCAAGGAAATCATGATAGGAAACACAAGCCGGGGAATATCGTATCAATTGGGAGATATATACTCCGTATGCAGGCGCTGCTGGAATGGTGCTACATAGAAATGGAAAGTTCACAATTGGGAAGCTGAAATCATCTCTTTTGTCGTAAAGTTTTATTTTCAACCGACCCTCATTGTAAATTTTTAGATGTAAGTCAAGATATGAGGCAGACTTAACTGTATCTGTAGTGTCCTTTATCTCTAGTTCGATGGGATTGATTCGTTCAACATAGTCACCAAATTGTGTATTATTTAGTGAGAGAACATCATCTATATAGCGGAACGTACAACTGTCAAATTCAAGGGAATTTTTTTTTTACCCTTTTTCGTATGCAACCGGATGTGACGTACTATGATTTGGTGGTTTTATACATAAAGAAGACTTTTTTGTTGAATAAACTGAATGTGATTTTTTTCCTTGTAATACTGGTTATTTCAAGCATTACTGTCAAGTTTTGTCATAATCAGTTCAGTAGTTTGCGAAAAATCTTTTATAATGTAAGACGACATCTACAGCGATTCGAGCAAACTTTCTTCGAAAAATCCAAACCAAGCCGCATCATGATAGAATATAGTGTGGACCAATAAATGATCAAATATTTATCTCATCTGCCTACAAACAGTTAAATATGATACAAAGGGTGACTCTATGATGATAAATACCACTAATGGACCTCTTTGTCTTCATTATTAGGTCCCTTTTGGTCTATTTATGCCTCTCATTTCCTCAAAATTTAAACTTTTGAGGCCACTATATCAAAATTTTGGGGTAATTTTTACACATCTATGCAAGAAATGTGATAATAATGAGTAATTGAAGTATTCAAGCTGAATTTACTATCCATATAAACGTTCACTGACTCCATGGAGGTTTCAATAAGTCCTTACGTAAAACTTAAATTTACGCCGCGCTCCAGAGAGGGACATAAAATGCTTCCCTTTTAGTGAATAATTTGTTGTTACTGCTACAAAAATAATTTCATTTACTTATAACTGTATATTTTTTAAAGTATTACTAAGGAAAAAAGTTTTCTATTATAGCAAAATATAAGAAATAAGGCGAATAAGTCAGAAAAAGCTCCCAAAAACAGAGTATGGCTTGCTATGTCTACTAATATTCATGGTAGAGTCCTATTTCAAGGCAATTTTCTCTTAAAATGTGTTTTTGAGACTCAATTCACTCAAAATATTTCATTTTTGCAATATTTCACTGAAATAGCATGAGATTTTAACAAATAAGAGTACATACAAGGTCAAAGGTGCATGTGCAGCTTCCCATAATGATTTGGTGGTATTACACCTCAAGTAGATTTTTTTTATCAAATTGTAGCCAAGGGGAAACATTTCTAGGACAGTATTTAAAGTGGTTTGCTCTATGATATTGCTTTAAAATTGAACATGAAATATAAATTTTGATTTAAAATAATAACAATAACGGAGCTAATGTACTAAGAAATGGAAATGAACTACCAATCAAAATACCAATCACTCGGCTGTATACGTCATTTAAAAAAAAACAATTTTCATGATATCAAGAACAATACATATATAAAAACAAATACCGGAGGCGGAAAAATAGGAGGAAGGTTATAAAACCTGACAAAATCAAACGCTCGACTATATCAACCAACTGGAAAACAACTGCCATTTTAAAAAAATAATTGATTAATTTGACAATGATTAGGACCAAGCAGCCAAAATAATGAAAACATACAAAATTAAACAAATTAAATAATCAAGACAAACATACAAAGTTACTTTTCTTTGTTGTGTTTGTATGTGTTATATATGTTCAAATGTGTTAGCCATGGCTATTCATTGAAACGTTTCATTTAAGAATCCGTTTTAATTTTTTGATATTATGTCAATGTCTATTACGATTCCATAAAAAGTTACACGTATTGGGAAATTATATTCATCGTATTCAAAAAAGCACAAAATACATATAATTCATTTTTATGCAATCAATTTCAGAAAGCGATTGACTTTACAAGTTTGTCAAACAGCCAAACAGAAATTTCAAAGGTCTAACATCAGTAAAAATCCAATGGTACAAACAAATGGAAATAGTGAAATGAAGAACAGAAATAAAACTGAATTGGTTCGTGACAGCTATGATGAAACTTGGGAACTACGTCGTAATATAGTTCATATTGGCAAACTTGACCAGCAGGATATCATTATTGTTCAAACGGAGGAAACGGAAATTTGAAAAATTCTATTGATAGTTGAAAGCAATTGAAATTTTGTATTGTTTTTGCTAAGTTCAACAACTCAAAACCCAACTTTCACTTCCTCTAGTTTTTGCCTTCATAAATGACTCATATAGTTTAATACAAAATTCGTATGATATCAATTCCGCGCGACTAATCTGTGTTTCTCGGACAACCATAAGTAGATACAATCGAGCCAAAAGTTTGAAAAGACAAATACATAAAACGTTTGTAACGAGCATGAGTTCAAATTTAGCTAATGAAAGTACATTCTTACTTTTAAAACAATGAATGAGCTTGTAGTCTGAAAATTAAGTTATAAAATGTTATATTACTTCATTCAGATAACGACGTACTGACGTCGGGACATATGGTTGTGTATCGGCTGTTTTTAGGACACACCAACTTTAAGTATTATAAAAATTTCCCAATGATCATCTTTATAGATGTTATGAAAACATGTTATGTTCAGTCTTCAAATCCTCATAGTTAAAAAAACAAGTTTATTTACATTCGGTACACTCTGTACTCTGTATATTACATATTAATAAAAACTGCAAAACCTGTGAGCTTTGTATTACGGATGCCTGCTTTTAAAGTAACTTGGCAATTTAATTAAGTGGCGAGAAGTTGTAATGTACTGCGTCCATTTATGTATAATGCATAGAATGTACTCTGTGAGAACTGATTTATGTCGGTGAAAGACGAAAACGGATAAATGAAATAAATTGACAATGAGGGTCGGTTGAAAACTAAACAATTGATACGATATTCTACAGCTTGATTTTCTTTATCTAAAGAGATCCCAGTTTTTGACGGGGTTCGTGTTGCTCAGTCTTTAGTTTTCTATGTTGTGTTTTGTGTACTGATGTTTGTCTGTTTGTCTTTTTCTTTTTTAGCCTTGGCGTTGTCAGTTTATTTTCCACTTATGAGTTTGAATGTCCCCTTGGTATCTTTCGTCTCTCTTTTGCTGCTTACAATGAAGTAAACTAAGTTTATTAGAATTCGACTGATGATTTTTTTCTGTATCTTAATTTATCTTTTGTTCCTTTTTTAAGCACTACTTTTCATCATACTTAATTGAAAGATCGGGTATGTCTACTCCTTGAGCAGCACTTTGTCTTCAAAATTGAATCGTAGACACACATCATTTGTTTTAGGTTACACAAATCTTACTTGTATACACTATAGAATATATTACCAGTTGGTTTAACGTTTTGATCGGCTACATATTTGACTAGTTTTGTCTGGTTGATATTTCAATAAACTGTCTGTATCTCTAAGCATATTGATAGTGCATCCATACTTGAAATGTTGTACTTGTATTTATGTGAAGCATATTTCATACTAAAAAATACTAATACAAAAAGAAAGAAAGAAAATAAGGTGGCATTGAGATATAAACAAAAAATGATATAGACGTTTTCATACTTTGCCTAAGAGAAGTACATATTGTGATATTTTCAAACATTTCTTAAAAGTGATAGGTCACCGAGCTTGTTTTCAAGCTACAGGTTGTTAAAAAAATATATACATTTTTATGGACTATAAAGAGAAAATGTATCATTAGGTAAATAGAACGTAAACTACATGATAAATTAATAAAATTTGAAATATACGAAATATATATTTTCAGAATATCAAAAGAAAAAAATTGCGGTCACCGTAAATGTTTGCATACTTGAACATGAAACAGAACATACTAGTAGATTCTGTAGATTCCTTTATAATTATACAATATTTGAGATACCTCCTCTTAGTGCTAAGTTTGGAAAAAGTTAAAATCCAGCCAAAATATTCTACCATTGTAAACATATTAGTAGTTATAAGATAGAATCACATAAATTTGTTCATTTAAATGAAAAATTCCTTTTAGTAAATTGCACTTCTGCATCGATATTTGCTGAATCGATTGGAAATCTTGACCTCTTGTGTTCTGCTTATTTACAATCCAAGATCACTGAAGACTCTCATACTACCATAAGGCTTAACCATTTGATATAGTGGTAATGTGTGTCACTGAAGTAATCACATTTCAGTGTGTGCTTTCATCTTGTATATTCCAATGAAATAGACATGTAGGATACTTCTAAAACTAGCAGGTCAGTTTAATATATATGAATCTCTATGTTGACAATGACACAGACGGACAACTTAAAATTAGGATCTGTGAAAACCGTGACGATTTTATTTTTCCAATTGTCAACTTTCAGTTTTAAGTAGTAACACATTCTCTGCCGCATCATAAACGTATTTCAATATGCCTTATCTGAAAAATGTGATTTGCTTATGTACTATGGCAAATGTGTCAAAACTCCTTATATATTTCATCACGATTATATTGTTAACAGAAACTCTATCTAAATTTCAAGTAAATATTTACATCCGTTTAAAAGATATGGATATCATGAAATACATAAAATATAATACAGAAATTTTACTCTGTACCTGGATAGTTACAAATCATTCATTTATGTGTACCAGCTTATCTAAATAAAAAAGGAAGAGGTGGAAGATTCCAATGGGACATATAAAACTCATAAGTCAGAGAAAAACAGACAACGCCATACAGAAAACTAAAATACGACCGAAAATCAAATAAGTCCACAAAACAGTACAGAGAAAATCTAGCTTGGAGCAACACGAACGCAACCAAAAACGGGATGTGATTTATTGTTCTCTGGAAAAATAAAAGTATGACAAAAATACTCAACTCCAATGTATATTCAAAAAGGGGGAAGTCTAAACAAAATGACAAAATCAAACGTTTGACTTAATCAACTAACGGAACGAATGGAAAACAAGTGTCATATTCCTGATTTGGTACAGGAATATATATATAATTCATATTAACTGATTGATTTATTGTTTCAGATCTCCATCATTTCTGATGTCAATTAAAGATATGAGAAACAGTGCTGTACTCATTTATGATAGAGATGTCTCAACACTTTTGAGAACTATTGACGTAACATTACAACATGCCTGCAGTGAAGTGCCCAGTACCGGACTGCCAATATGAGATAGATGATCTCGACGCTGTTGTGGTTGCAGCATTACTTACAACACACGCAACAGTTCATTCGGCGGCCGCTGGTGCCATTGTCTCAGCAAAAAAAGAAAAAGTAAAACGTCCAACTGTTGCATCAGCTGGTTCCAGTGAAGATTGGACATAATCTGTCTTTCGATGGAAAGACTACATTCAAACAACTAAGGTCAGCGGAAAAGACCTTGTTATTCAGCTACTAGAAAGGTGTGATGAAACTTTGCAACAAGACATTACACGATCTGCCGGTGGCTCATTTATTGATAAATCTGAACAAGAAGTACTTGCAGCCATGCAAACACTAGCAGTGAGAGAAGAAAACACTATGATAGCACGTGTTTCTCTTCATGGCATGACACATGACCGCGATGAGACAGTACGTTCATTAGGAGCCAGAATCCGCGGCCAAGCCAGCGTTTGTAAATTCATATTGTAATTTCCAGGATGTGAACATAGTTTCCACAGAAGCTATCTTACGTGATGTACTTACCCGTGGACTAAGTGACCCTGATACTCAGTAAGATCTCTTAGGAGACAAAAATCAGGACATGACACTAGTACAAGTCTTCAAATTCGTTGAAGCCAAGGAAGCCGGTAAGCGTTCTGCGTCAAGCCTTCTTGATTCACAATGCGCTGAAACTGCCTCCAGTTCATACCGTCGAAAACGAAATGCCAATGTTACCAAAGACACGAAAAAACATGATAACAACAAGGTTGAACTATGTGGGTACTGTCGAAAAAAAGGACACGGAAAAGGTAATCCACCCAAATTCAGGAAGAAAGAATGTCCTGCATACGGACATACTTGCAAAAACTGTGAACGTGAAAACCATTATGAATCCGTATGTCGAAGCAATACCAGTAAGCCAAAAGTGAAACAAAATGAAGAAACTGAAAGTGCTATATTCGATTCTCTTTGTGCGGCAACTGTGTCCCCTCAAGGGAAAAATAACTATCCAACTTTATCATCATCTTTACTCGCAGATGTAAAACACATGGGTTAAACGACCATCACAACCGCAGCCGTTCATCAACATAGTTTGTTAAAGTTGTAGAAGATGATTTCAAGCAGCTTGGATTTCAAAACTCTGTAGTGTCTAAACAGAGAAATACAGTCATTCCTGTAATGGCTGACACTGATTGCCAAAACTGTTTAGCTGGAATCAAATTGCTTCACAAAATTGGACTAACAAAACGTGACCTCATACCGGTGAATATGCAAATGCACGCCGGTAACAACAAAGGCATTGTTATACTTGGGGCCGTCATTCTCATACTATCAGGAAAGGACCAAGATAACCACGAACTAAAAACTAGACAAATTGTGTACATCACAGACAGCTCAGACAAATTCTTTCTCAGCAAAGAGGCTTGCATTACACTTGGTATAATATCTGAGAACTTTCCTACTATTGGTGAAATCACCGGAAGCGTCCCTGATACTTCCTCACAGACATACGATGAGAACAGGTTCAAAACACAAGTTGATTGCAACTGTCCAAAGATGCAAAAACTCCGATACCAATGAAACTTCCGTTCCCACTCACATAGGAGAACGTATCGAAACTCAAAGACTCTCTACTTGAGCACTACAAGTCGAGCACTTTTAATACCTGTGAACATCAACCACTACCACTCATGGAATGTCCACCGTTGAAACTTATGATCGACCCTAAAGCAACGCCAGTTGCATGTCATACTCCGGTTCCAGTTCCCTTGCACTGGTAGGACAACGTGAAAGCATCCTTAGATCAAGACGTCAGGGTAGGTGTTATTGAGCCTGTTCTTGTCGGCGAACCTGTAACATGTGTAACATGGTGTCATCGTATGGTTATATGTCCCAAAAAGAATGGGAAATCGAGACGAACAGTATATTTTTTAGGCTCTCAACGCTCACGCAATAAGGGAAACACATCACACACAATCTCTTTTCCATCAGGCAAGATCAGTCCCACAGGGCAAACAGGGCTTGGAATGGTTACCATAGTGTACCCATCAGAAAGGAAGACCGACATCTTACAACCTTTATCACCCAATGGGGTAGATACAGGTACAAGACTGCCCCCCTCCCCAAGGATACATCGCATCAGGTGATGGTTACACAAGAAGATTCGACGAGATCGTGGCCGATGTGCCAAACAAGATTAAATTTGTCGACGATACTCTTCTGTGGTCCGATGATATTGAGGAAAGTTTCGTTTAGGTTTGTCATTGGTTAGAGCTTTGTGGAAAACATGGTTTAACTTTAAACCCAGAGAAATTCCACTTCGCACAAGATACAGTTGAGTTCGCTGGATTCGAAATAACAAACGATAGTGTGCGCCCTTGCGAAATATACCTGCAAGCTATATTGGATTTACCTACACCGAAGAACATAATAGACGTTCGATCGTGGTTTGGCCTTCTCAATCAGGTTTCATATGCATTTAGTATGGCTGACTGCTTACAACCCCTTCGTCAATTGAT